ATTTCATATTTCTGCAAATAAAGTAGATTTTGCTAGTAAAGTTATTATTATATTATTTTCATAAAAGAAAATGATAGGCAACAAAAGATGAAATAACAATGATTCTAAATTCTAACATCATCCTGTTTGCCCTTATCATGGTACATTCAAATGTTGTTTTTTATGTCCCTTGTATCACACAAACACATACAATAATTATTCGGACTTCTTCACAATCACATTAAATAATCGTGAGAGAAACTAAAAACATTGCTTCGTTATAGGTGTACCTATTTTAGCGTAGTATTCATTGATGTACTCATTGTAAGCCATCTCCATCAGGCCATGTCCCAGGTTGTAGTTGGGGAAGATCAGGAAACAGGACTTTAGGTAACTGTTGATTCTTTTCAGATCCTAAAGACATGAAGATAGTGGAGAAGTGATGTGAGACTACGTCTGATAATACTGCACAACCAAAGCTGAGGGAACAATAGTCAAACTGACCTTATCATGTTCAAAGAGCTGGAGCAGGAAGGTGGCAACAGTTGCAGTGATGCCTATGAAGAGGTTGATGACTATAAGGAACACGTAGGCTGTACTGGGCACCTCGAACCAGAAGGATGCTGGGTACATGATGGGAGTAATGGACCACCTGGAAGAAGAGACGACATATTGAAAGACAAAAACATGAAGACGTATTAATTCACTTTAAATTAAGAGGACACCTCTTCATCTAAAACGCTAAGTCAATGAGGAAGTGCCTCGAACCTGCGTTTTTTTGAATAATCAGTAATGGACTGCATTGGTTACAAATAGAAGTCAGTACGTTCAGAGGTCTATGAGAAAATGACCCTAGCCTCACCTGATTTATTACTTCAATAAACCTTTTCTGTATTGGTTCATATTCTCAAAGGCCAGATTCAAGAAGTCTGAAAAACAGCATGATTCATAAGCACAATTATGGTCCCGTTCATAGTATAAAAAAGACAACAAAGCAGGGTATGCTTGAAGGGCCGGAATACCTTCTGATTTACATCTCGATTCCATGGCATTGCTGCGAGATGTTATTCATCATTCAGTACTAATAAAGACACTCCAAGCACTCCACAAGTACATTAAAGCACAAGCCTGATTCTTGCTAACTAAAACTAGCATCCCAATCATTTCACAATTCTTCCTTTCTTACAAAGCTAGCTAGCTTGTGTTAGCACCATCTCACTTTTGACCAGCTTCAACCTCTGTGATAAATATGGTCAACTTCACATTAGTTGAGTGACTATAATAAAACACTGTCTGCACTGGTGCACTTTTTCCAGATCTTATATTCAGGGAGTTTATTTGCTGTCAAATATCAGAATGAAAGTGTGGTCTGCAGTCACATTTCTTTTGAAGTTTCTACTTGAGAAACATAAGGGAGATGCCTTGAATCTTCTTCTCCTTCTCTTTCTCTAATTTCTTGTCTTTAAAACCACTTTTCCCCAAAATCCATATCATGGAAGAATACAGTTACTCAGACCCAGGGCCTTATACTGATGAACCGTTGCTGCAGACAGGATGATGTTGGAAAAACACTGATTTTAGATCATGCACCGTGAAGGAAATCATTATTTGATCCCTAGCAGATTTAGTTTGTTACACTCTTACAAATAAATTAATAGTCTATCATTTTAATGGTAGGTTTATTTTGACAGTGAGAGTAAGAATATCAAAAAGAAAATCCAGAAATTGACATTATATAAAATATAAAAATGGTGGGAAATAAGTATTTGATCCCCTTGCAAAACATGTGTTAGTACTTGGTGGAGAAACCCTTGTTGGACACACAGAGGTCAGACGCTTCTTGTAGTTGGTCACCTGGTTTGTGAACATCTCAGGAAGGATGTTGGTCCACTCCTCTCTGAAGATCCTCTCCAAACCCTTCAGGTTTTGAGGCTGATGCTTGGCCTCTGGAAGCTTCAGCTCCCTTCCTGGGATTAAGGTCTGGAGACTGGCTAGGCCCCTCCCTCACCTGAATGTGCTCCTTCTTTAGCAGCTCCTGTGTTTCCTTAGCCGTATGTTCAGGGTCATTGTCCTGCTGGAAGACCCCTCCATGACCCATGTTCAGAGTCCTGGCTGAGGGAAGGAGGCTATCGGCCAAGATTGTATGGTACATGGCCCCGTCCATCCTGTCCTCGATGCAGGGAAGTGGTCCTGTCCCCTTAGCAGAGAAACACCCCAAAGCAGAATGTTTCCACCTCCATGCTGACCCCCCGTCAGACGGATGGTGTTCTGGGGTTATAGTCAGCATCTCTCTTCCTCTAACACGGCGTGTCGAGTTGATGCCAAAGATGTCGATGTTGGTCTCATCTGATCACATCCTCTCTCCCAAGCTTCTCTGAGTCCTTCAGATGTTCATTGTCAAACTTCAGACGGGCCTCTCATGTTCCTCTTGAGCAGGGGGCCTTCAGGCGCTGCAGGATTTGATCCATTAAGGTGTAGTGTGTTCCCAATAGTTTTCTTGGTGACTGTGCTCCCAGCTGCCTTGAGATCATTAACAAGTTCCTCCTGTGTAGTTCTGATCCCTCACCTTTCTCATGATCATCAAAACCCCACGTGGCCAGATTTTGTGTGGAGCCCCAGACCGAGGGCGACTGATGCTCATTTTGTGTTTCTTCTATTCCTGAATAATGGCACCAAGAGTTGTCTCATTCTCACCAAGCTGCTTTCTGATGGTCTTGTAGCCAGTCCCAGCCTTGTGCAGGGTTGCATTCAAATTGTCCAAAAATCAGCTCCTATCATCTTTTCCTATCCACTATTCCTTGACCTCTGTGTGAAACATCACGCAGTTAAGGGATAGTGGATAGGAGAATTTAAAAGGACTTAGGAAAAAAGACTGCAGTGCTTTGCGAATCCGACTGCACTTCAACGTGTTTATGATGAGCCAGCGGACGTCATAAATGTGCGTCTGCTGTGGGGAAAACTACAGTTTTGTATACAGCGAACTACATGGATGTTTAATAAGAACGGCGGACTAAACTCATCTAGAGACTCTGCACCGTGCTCTGATGGTGTTGTTTTATGCTTTATGAACGTGGGCAACAGAGAAACATATTCTTCATGAACAAGGTTGGAATTTAAATAAAAAAGTAAAGTGAAACTTAAACTTATGTTCGTCACCCTCTCCCTCCGGTCCACACGTTAATACGTGTATTATAATGAATACATTTGTATTAAGATCTTTTCATACAATCCTACGTATTGGGATTCATGTGGATATTAATGTTTTATTCCTTAACATCTATCACTGTGTATATCACCATTCAAACATGTATTACAAGTTTAAGAAACCCCACACAGCTCAGTAAAGACTGTGAGATGTTGACTTTATTTGATCATTTCAGTAAAAACTAACGTTCATATTTCTCCTTTGATTATTATAGTGTTGAACGTTCAAAACAAAGCACTTTGGCAACTTACCACATACGTTGTAAATTACTTAATAAATATCGTAACTTTCATGATATTATTTCTCGGTCATGGTCGGTTGTTTCCGTGAACGTTGTGTCACGGTATATGTTGCGGCCGCAAGGCATTGTGGGACAGCATTTTCTCCTCTCCTTTCATCAAGGAAGGTCCAGTGGTTCCTAAGCTAAAGGAGGTTATAAAGGAAGTTTCAAATCTCCTTTCCTATCATCTAGACTAGAGAATTTGAACAGCTCTTATCATGGCTGCCACTGAGGTACTTCCGGGTCATTTCACTCCGTTAGGAAGGTTCCTAAGCTAAATGGACTATTCGACCGCATCCCAGGTCTACAATCTTGTCCCTGAGGTCCTTAGACAGCTCTTTAGTCTTGCCCATGGTGGAGAGGTTGGAATCTGATTTATTGATTCTGTGGACAGGTGTCTTTTATACAGGTAACAAGTTGATATTAGGAGTACTTTCTTAAAGGAAGAGGATTTATGTAACCGGTCTGTGGGAGCCAAAATTCTTGTTGGTTGCAAGGGGATCAAATACGTATTTCCCACAGTTAAATGCAAATTCATTTTGATCTCTTATATGATGTACATTTCTGGATATTCTTTTAATATTCTGTCTCTTATTAGTCAAATAAAGCTACCATTACAATTATAGACTGTTGATTCCTTTGTAAGTGGGTACACTTACAAATTGGCAAGGGATCAAATACTTATTTCCTCGACTGTAAATTAAACCACTCAGAGTTGACAGTGATGTTACAAGCGAGGTAAGCAAAAGGCCTTGTAACCTTCATATATTTTACATCTATATAATAGTTGCTCTTCCAGAGTGTGGAGGAGACATTGGGAGAGGGGCCATTACACAAGGAGAGCTGGGCAGTTACCCTGGTCCAGGTCTAAGAGGAAATCCATCAGGACACTAACTGCTGTCTCATCAGGAGCAGATGTGGTTGGGAGTGCATACAGGACCATGGGGGCATACACACTACTGAGCCCTATGATAAGTGGCCGTGATTGGATTGAAGTTAGTTGGAACAGCCTGTTGAATTTTTTTCACTTAGATTTTCTGTTGATTTTTAATTCCAGCCCTCATTGGGTTGATGAGTTTGGTTTCCATCACACAATGAATATCAGTAAAGATGTTCTACTTTAATATTGCGTTCATTAAGTGTTGACTTACAAACTAACCACAAACTAAATTCCATTCAGTTTTTTTTTAAATGTGGTGAACTGCCCCTTCAATAGAAGTGTAAGTCCACTAGACTACACTATAATGAGCCGTTAATTCCAGGTATAAACGCTGATAAGTAAAGATGTGTGCACTCAAAGGTCTCACCCGTACAGAAGAAAGAGAGAGAGGACTGCAGGGAAGTTAGTTGGTGATGTGTAGGCCGGCAGGTCAAACACAAACAGAATAATCCACAACATGTTGCAGGCACCAGGTAGTTCAGCTGAGGAGAGGGCAGACACACACTGAATTATTAAAACACAAGAAAATCCACTGCCCTAACCTCAGTTACACATGCATTATTCTTTGTACAGTATTGACCTCAGGCTTTTCTCACCATGTCCCATATGTAATTAGCCAGCCAGTAGATGACAGGGTCACACCCGCTGACAAACTGCAGGTGTTTGGCCTTCGTGGATTTCTCTGCAACAAGGAAGACCACAAAGCTGGCCGGTACAAAAGACATGGCCACAATAATGAAGATGGCAATCACCACATCTGTCCCCTGGAGCCTGGAGATACAGGGAGAGGAGAAAGGAGAGAGAGGTGAGGAGCCTTAGAAATTATTGTAAATGATAACCATCACAAGGCTATGTCTTTCCACCTTTATAACTCAGCCCAACATCATTTTGGGTTTCCCCTGGCTAAAACATCATAACCCCCACATAAATTGGCACTCTTGCAGGGTGGAGGGGTTGGGAAAGAAATGCTTAAATCACTGTTTAAAGCAAACAAGTTGAGATGGACAGGGGAAGCAACACTGGGAATTGTAGGCAGGAAACAGACCAAAGGTTAGATCCTCCTGAATTACCTTCAGTCCCTTCCTGCTACCATGATCTAGGTGAGGTTTTTAGCAAATCCAAGGCTTTGGCTCTTCCTCCTCACCGTCCATTGTGCTATTGACCTGATTGCTAGGGTTCCTATTCCTAAAGGACCTGGGCAGCACGCCGGAGGGGCATCGCCGCCAGTTCTGGGCCATCCCCTTTGAGGACGCCGGCCATCCCTTCTCCTACGCGCAGCAGCTCCTCAATGCCGCGAGGCGCTGGCTCCGACCGGGACAACACTCCGCTGAGGACGTTGTGGAGCAGGTGGCACTGGAGCAATTTGTCGCAAGACTCCCGACATCGACAGCGAACTGGGTCCAGTGCCACCGGAAATGATTTTCCAGGCCGCTCATCATAACCCCATGTCAGGTCATCTAGGGTACGACAAAACACTACACCGGATCATGGCCCGATCTTCACAGATGGTGGTGCGCATCTTGCCGTGAATGTCAGTTTGGTTAACCCGCCGGCTACCCCAAAAGCGCCTTTGCGACAACTCCCATTAATTGAGGTACCTTTTGAGAGAGTTGGTATGGACCTCATCGGGCCATTAGACCGGAGTGCACAGGGATATCGCTTTGTACTAGTCCTAGTGGATTATGCAACACGATACCCCGAGGCGCACTGCCTCGCTGCGTAATATTTCTGCCAAGGCACTGTTTCATATAATCTCCCGAGTCGGGATCCAAAAAGAGATCCTGACTGAACAGGGCACATCGTTTATGTCACGCACACTACGCGAGCTGTATGAACTGATGGGCGTCCACTCAATCCAGACTAGCGTTTACCATCCACAGACCGACGGCCTGGTGGAGCGGTTTAACAAAACGCTAAAGAACATGGTTCGTAAGTTCGTTCACGAAGATAGTCGTAATTGGGATAAATGGTTAGACCCTCTGTTGTTTGCAGTGCGGGAGGTGCCCCGTCCTCCACAGGATTTTCTCCCTTTGAGCTATTGTTTGGCCAACCCTGTCTCCTAAAAATTACGTTCCCACAGAACTAAACTGCATTCTCAATTACGTTTAGCTAGAAACATATTTTCTCCCACGTTACGTTTCTTATGAACGTATCTCAAATGCGTTTATTTTCTACATATCTTTGCCATTTATTGTCTTGCTTATAATAATGATAATAGTCATTTATAAATATCATTTTAGAGCACACATTTGAAATCAGTAGGCGAGGCTGTAATTTCGCCAGCTGTTACTCTCATGAGCGAGGCAGAAAATAATAGTTGTAACATGCCAAAAAGCTGCTGTGTCGTTTGTTGCACCTCAAACATTAAAACAAATCCAGAGTTACGTGTTTCTGAACTTCCTCTAAGAAGAAAGGACAGTAACAGAAGATCTCTGTGGCTTCAGGCTTGATCGCTGTTCAAATGACAGCGTTGGTTTCCCCAAAGGTGGGCGGGGCTGTAAGGTGACGTAGATTTTACTCTCATCTATTGTTCAAAACCATTCTATTTATTCTAACGTAAATTACACGCCAGTGTTTTATCTTTTTATTTAGCGATTTGTTTTTGCATGTTTAACTGGGAATGTTTTCATGTTCGCTGACTGGATGTTTTAGCGGCAATGCACGTTGGGATGTGTTGTTAATGCAATATAATATCAGGAAAAAAAATCAGAGTTTAGGATGGCCGAAGACACTACACTACCCATAATCCCCAGCTATCGTTTGGGACTACAGTCCCGTTGACAAACCCCGTGATTAATCTTCAAGCTCTGGGATTGGATGTTGGAGTGGCAGTGCGCCAAGGTTACGCCGAGCGTCAAAGCTCTTTGAAATGGAACGAAACCACGGCAGACTATTCAAAACTGGACTCGAACGCCTCCCGAGAACTACACATGCTGGCTATTGTGTTTCGCAACATGTTCTCTATGGCACGTCTCTACTGGGAATTGTAGTTCTGCACATTTCTTATACTATCTACATAAATAATAGTATAATATCAGTTAAAAAGAAGTGCTTCGACATAGTTAACATTGCAGGAAAGCAATATATTAGACGTTAAGTACTTTTCAGGCTTAATATTTATCTGTAGATAGATACCCCCAAAGCTTTTTTCTTATTTGAAAGAAGACCTTAACCTAAAGTATTCTTTAATGTGTTAATAAAGGTTAATTAGTTTGTCTGTTTTATTGTAGAGATCACTTACAGTATCTTCTTGATTTTTTATATTCTATATTTCTATCATTGACCTTCTACTTTCCCCCTATGAAAGTATGTACTATTAAATATTCTTTTCATCAAATAACATTATTCAACAAAAATAACATTATTCAACAAAAATAATTCAATAACGTTCTTTAACCACTAGGCGGTGCACACAAGGTACACACAGCATACTAATAATAACTTTGTATTATTAGTGTAGGACACTTATGTATGTATAACATCTGAAGATGTGTAGTTTTATTCATGTTTTTACATAATTTTACAGGATATTGCTATACTATTTCTCATGTTTCACTTCTACACATTAATATCTGATTTGTAAAACATCACAGACAGAAAGGTATATCCGTCATTTAATGGTAAACTATTGAAATTGTGATTCCATAGACGTGTCTCCCATCACCCAAATCCCCTGACTATTCTCTCAACTCAGTATTTACATTCTTATATTAAAAGAAAATCAGTAATATCTTTAAAAACTACAAGTCCGATTGGATCACATATAAAAGTCAGCCGAATTACTATTGATACTGCAAGGAGACGTATTTTGTGAAAATAAATGTAAGATGTTGTTTAATTGTTGATATATGTATGATCCACGTCACGTTTTCAGTTTTGGCAGCAGTTCTCCTGTTTGTCCAGAAGTCTTCTGATCAGGGCTCTATAAATAGAGAACTACGGCAGATGTGTAATATTTAATGCAGCCGAACCGTGTATCACAATGCCGTTATGTGATGACTTCCAAAGAGAAAAGCAAGAACACTCGGAATAAAGTATTATTTAAAAAAAAAAAAATGTTTTCGGATATCATATCGCATTAACATCATATCCCAACCAGCATTGTGGCTAAAACATCCAATCAACGAGCTTCAAGCTGAGGATCTTGGGTAATCAGTTCAGTGGGTTTGTGGTGTGTATCGCTCGAAATGTCCCTTATAGGGCTACGTCTGTTTCCGGTGACTTTATTTACGGCTAAAAAGCCCAAGATTATAGAATTAAACGAATAAATAAAAACAAGGATAATTGTGTGTTATTGTTGAGTAAATAACAGTGTGTTATTTAGAAAAGAATAACAAATTAGAAGGAGAAAAAGATTTTTAAAAATACAGATTTCAGTATTTTGAGGCCCCATTTCTTTTCCTCACAGACGGCAAAAAAAGTCCGACATTATACGATTTAAAATAAAAATAAATAAAAAGATAAAACACTGGCATGTAATTTACGTTAGAATAAATAGAATGGTTTTGAATAATAGATGTGAGTAAGATCTACGTCACTTTACAGCCCCGCCTACTTTTGGGGAAACCAACGCTGTCATTTGAACGGCGATCAAGCCTGAAGCCACAGAGCTCTTCTGTTACTGTCCTTTGTTCTTAGAGGAAGTTCAGAAACACGTTACTCTGGATTTGTTTTAATGTTTGAAGTGCAATAAACGACACAGCAGCTTTTTGGCATGTTATAACTATTATTTTCTGCCTTGCTCATGAAAGTAACAGCTGGCGAAATGACAGCCTCGCCTACTGATTTCTAATGTGTGCTCTAAAATGATATTTAAAAATGACTATTATCATTATTATAAGCAAGACAATAAATGGCAAAGATATGTATACAATAAACGTATTTAAGATACGTTCATAACAAACATAACATGGGAGAAAATATGTTTCTAGAAGATATGTAGAAAAAAAACCATCTCCTGGGTCCCAGATGTATCGGTGGATTCGGGAGGGCCCGGCTGACTCCCACTCCTGCTTCCAAGCTGCTGCCAACCATGCATCTCTGGAGATGTCCTCAGAGGTGGAGTTGAGCATCTCTTGAGCTGCTTTGTTGTAGGGGTGGCGGGACTTGAGTCTGCTTGGAGGTGCTGGTGTTATTGTGGTGTTGTGCAGGATGTGCCAGTCATACTTTTGTGCCTTCCTGGCCTGGCGAGGAATCATCCAAAGTGAGACCTGGGAGCATCATATGCAGCAGGTGGGGGCAGTGCTCGAGTCCCTGAGGCAGGCGGGGCTCACGGCCAACCCGAAGAAGTGGGAGGAGGAAGGTATCTGGGGAATCACTTGGGCGGCTGGCAGGTGCGGCCACAAATAGAAAAGACGGCTGCCATTTCAGTCTGTCCAGTGGCCAAGACGAAAAAAGAGGTCAGGAGGTTCATCAAACATTACCATTACCATTGGTGTATGAGAGTGATGCGCAGCCAGCATGCCCAAAACCGGAAGCTGGGTTACAGCTCTCGTAGACTCTATATGAAAACTACGCTTTTTACCGTAAATATGATGATGGATTATCAGTAATCATTTCAAAGTGACACAGAGACATTGGATTAACCTTCAGCAGCATTTGTATGCGTTTTAATGCCCTTGAACACAACTTTTGATCAGAAAACAGCAAAGGTAAGAAGTATTTGCCGTTTTGGCCACGTAAGTGAAGTTCTGTGTTGTCTTTGCTTACCTTCGCTGCCGCAAGTTTTGGTCACACAGTGATGATAAGTGATGAATCTGTGGAATCTCAGCTTTCATATGATATCTAGTTTGTGCAGATCCGATGAAGTATAACATATTCCTACTGTGAGTTATGTGCTTAGTGCATTAGCACCCTTTCGCTTAATGCTAATTCAGAGGCTTGGCATTAGACTTGTGTTTTGTTTAGGTAAAAATGGTTCATATCGTCAGTTGGCTGAGTTTCTTCCCGTTAAGTGGGTATGACACATTAATAGGTTATTAAATGTTAAGAAGCCCAGAGACACAGTTTCGTGAACATTTCGTGAAAAGCCGGCGGGGGCTATGGGGCTTAACAGGATAAAAAGTAATCAGGGCCAACATTTTAATATGATCAACTAAGTGAGGATTTAAGGTACTATATATCAGTGCTGGGCAACTTACAAGTAGTCTAAAGAGAGGCTGGCACTGGTTCGATTCATTGGGTGGTTTGTCAGTGTGAAGCCTGAAAAACACAAACACATAACACAACAGATAATAAGAACTGAACCAGGGGCTTGCCCAAAACATTTTATAACATGACTGTGAATTATTGGGAACTACGCTGGGGAGAAACATCCAAGTCTTTAAATAAGAAAACATTCTGTCTCGATGTTGTATCTTATGTAGTTACCATAGGCAGCAGGGTTTCCCTTGGATGCAGCCAGGTTTGCGCGCAGGATGGCATTGTTCAGGACGTTCAGGTATGTCGGCATGCTGTGGTAACCTTTGTTGTTGTAAAGAACCTAGAGAGAAGCGCTGTCAGAAGCTGTTTATAATGTATTTGAGATCTTCAATTCAGAGCCTTACCTGAGCTGATCTGCGAACTGCTATCTTGCGAACCATGGGAGGTATATTTCTCCCAAAGGACGCTGGGATTGATTTCTGAATGTTCCCCACTGTTAATCCACCATATCTATTAAGAACAAAGTCCGTGTTGAAAACAAAACATTTTAAAAGTATATATATGTTTGTACACGTATGTTTCACCTACGGTGTGTCACAAGAAATATGAATAATGTTTGGTCTTTTATTTTAAAATGTGTTATCTGACTGTATTTTGTCATTGTGTTTTTAAATGTGTCATTCTATTGAATTTTCTTATGTGTGTTAAGCACTTTGAGATGCCTCCGTGATTTTCTTTTATGAAAAATCTTAGAACTGTGGCTGGCCACAGAATACGCAATAAACCTCCAGAAATATGTCAGCAGCTGAGGACCAACTGTAGCTAACTGTCTTCAAGGTAAATTGGACACATACACAATTGCATTTGAAAACAGATTACTGACTGAAACCTGGCAGCGTCTATCGTTTTTCCCACCCAGTTTAGATTTAACCACGCCTACTTCTGCATTGCGCAAGCATCAACGCAACAGAGTGTCACGGCGTTGCCGCCGGCGTTACGTCACTGCCTCACGCCCTAGCATTGTTATGAATGACACAAGGCTCAGGACCCAAACGCACAACACCAGAACCAGGTCAGGATTAACAAAGTATTTTAATAAAAAGGCAAAAACGCTCACTTGGAGGATCAAACCTGAGAAACTATAAGATCAAAACGCTAAACAAAACATCTACTTGGACTATCAAAAAACGTAACAAAAGGAGTCTATCAAAATATACTTAACAAGGTCAAGAGGGATGGCTGGCAGACTTGGTTAGACAAGACGAACTGGCACAGGACAAGGGGAGACGCAGACTATATATACACCAGTGATGCAAACACAGGTATGGTGAAAAAAGAGAGAACTATTCGAAGCAGAAAAAAAACAGCGTAATATACCATCTGACAAAGGCCTGTGCTATAATGCTTCAATTAACTGCTATTCTTTATAATATACTCAGATCAATAGGAGACAGAGATGTTAAGTTATAAATCAAGGGTTTTTATTATTATTTACAGCAGGGGTGGGGAACCTTTTTCCTTTCAATTTGTACAACATCCTCCGAGGGTCGTACAAATGATTGAACTCAACCTCTGCTTAAAAAAACTAAAATCACAGCCCATTCATTTCGCCTTTCTTTCATGCTGTGCAAAGAAAAAGCAACTTCTTAATCCAGATATCTCACCATGACTCACGCATGCATGCATGTGCACGGTGTGGCATGATCACCAAAACAGAAAGATACCTAACCTCCTCTAGTGGGGTCCGGGGGCATGCTCCCCTGGGAAGATTTTTTTTTTAAATATTGAAGTTAAAAGCATCAATCTGGTGCACTTTGAGAGCAACATTAAGAGATCTATGGATACATCTTTCAACACACATTGAAACAGAACTGTAAGCGGATTTTTCTTTTTGGATATTTTACAAATCACTCCCATTTTAAACTCTATTCTTGTTATTTTTAACAACTTTTTTGTTACTGTCATATAGTATTTTATACCTGTTTTTCATTTAGTCTCATTAATAACTATAATGATCATATCAAGGTGTGCCTTAACCTCACTGAGCTGAGGTTATTTGAGCCTCTCAGGAGAGAGCTCTCTTCCACCTGGTTGTAGAAAAGCTCTTTAAAGTCGTTAGCATAGCTAGCTAACCAGATGCTAACAACAACAGATCGCCACTGTGCTTACAACTAAAGACACATCCACGCAAACACTGCGGCATGTGTACGGCTCCTTATGGGTACTGCAATATTTGAAGAGCTGGAGCGACGTTCCAGTGCTCTCTGTCAGCACTCTAGTCACTCCTTTCAGACGAGACATAACCACTTGAAGACACGTTACGCTCGTGTTGTGTTCAAGGAACCTGTCCTTGGCCATGAAAAACAGACACTCGCTTGTTTAATTATTTTGCAATCTTGATTTCTTCTTCTTTTTTTAAGTGAGAAGTTTTCCGTCAGTCGGACGGAAAACTTATCACTTCAAACGAAAACTCTTCGGTTCTCACCCAAATCAGCGTTAAAAAAGCGGGAGGCGCCGAAAAGTGACTAATTTGCATCACTGATATACACACAAGGTAAGCAGTGGCGTTTCCTCCTGGAGGCCAAGGGAAGCCAGGCTTCCCCTGTTTTTTCGGATTGTAGTTATCATTTTAATAAATAAATAAAAACGTTTTGTTTCGGTAATTCTTCTGTGCTGTGTGTTGCTGCCATCTCTCCCCCATTCTCATTGAGTATTTTACAAAGAGTGAAGCAGCAACCCTCTAGATGTTGTGGTGAAACAGTAGATTGCACTCTCTGTTGCGAGAGGAGGCCAGCCGAAATTGGCATCCCTTGACAGCTCGCATACGTAGAATGCGAGCCTAGAGGTGAGTCGCATTTTTTACAGGCTCCCACTACCTGTTAGCATCTAGCTATCCTGCTTACAAACATTTAGCCACCCATGCTTGTACAACATCTTGACGCATCCGTTCACACTCAAGAATGCCATCAAAACACCCTGAGAATGATGTGCTACTTCAAAGAGCTAATGCAACAACTTCTGCACCGGTAGCCAACAGCGTTCGTGCTCCTTCCCAGGCCACTGTGGAGTCAACTCGGCATCCCTCATCCCGTCTGGCGATCTCCTCTTCATGCCGTAAACTTCTCAAAGAGGCCGTGCTGAGACACTCGAGAAGTTTTCCGGGCCCTGAGCCGGCAAGGAAATCCCCTCCCAGCTCAGCTGTTACTGTCCCACCACAACACTCTCCTGCTCGGTCACCATACCCTCAATCAATGACCTTTTATTAAAAAAAAAAATAAGGTCAACGTGGACCATGATTATGCACCTGAATTGCAGAGAATGTGTGTGTATGTGGAAGCCAAAGCAGCACTTAAGGAAAGAAACATAAGATTCTAGAGCCCATTCCCGGCCAGACTAAAAGTGTTTTCTGATGACAACCCAGTGGTATACAACTCGGCTGAGGAGGCAACAGCAGACATGGTGAAGAGAGGGATACCAGTGACGGTCCTAAAAATGACCGTCGCTAATGGACCAGATTAACCGGCTTACCAGAAAGCGGGGAGATCAACTGCACCCGAGCTCCAAGCAACATTTCAAGGAACGGTTTCGAGGCTTTCGACATCGGGATATCTGATAAGTAGCCTATGTTTCATAAATGCCCTCTTTAATGGATGCTCCCTTCTGAATATCTTGGTTAAAAAGAAACAACAATAATAAGGCTATTTTTATTATTTTCCTCCCTACCCAAAGGTTGAGACCAAATTGAATAGAAGGTTTATGCCACGGGCACATGTGGGCCACATTTTGGGTCGGTTTGCTACTCTCTGTATACTATGGACCTATCAGCTTAAGGGCTGAAGAGGGCCCCCTTCCATCACTAAGAGGAAGAGACTTTCCCTCCACACTCCAACATTCCAAGGCCCAATACAAGGCCTTAAAACTGGAAGTCAATGACACTTATGTTTGTGGATATTATTGTTATACTTTTTTTGGTTATAGTTTTGGATTTTATTAATGTTATATATACAACAGGGGATGTGAGAAATTATTTAAATGCAGGAACTCATGGATTTAAAATAAAGACAAATAGTCATCATGCAAAGTAAAGGGTCAATTAAAGTAATTACATACAATGTGAACGGTCTGGGAAATCCAATTAAAAGGAATAAAGTAATGTCAAAATTAAAAAGAGATGGAGCAGAAATAGCCCTCCTTCAGGAGACTCATCTAACAGAACAGGAACACCAAAAACTTAAAAAGAGGAATTTCACTCCATATTCATCCTCTTACAGAAAGGGATCCAGGAGGGGCGTAACAATCTTAATCTCCAGTAAATTAAATTTTGAATGCACATATGAAAAAAAGGACAAAGATGGGAGATATATACTTATTCGGGGAAATTTGGAGGGTACTTTAGTTACCCTCCTGAATGTATATGCACCCCCGGGATCTGAATGGTCATTTTACAAAGATATTTTTGAAATAATAACATTGGAGGCCCAAGGAATTCTAATTTGTGGGGGAGATTTCAATGTTAGACTTAACCCAACTTTAGATACATCAAAACCCCTTTCCTCAGGAGGGAAAACAATCACCAAGAACATTAAATCGATCTTGGGAGACCTAGGGCACTCAGATATATAGCGAGACCTAAATCCGTCTAAGAAAGATTTTACCTTTTACTCACACCCACACTCTGTATATTCAAGGCTTGATTATCTGTTTATGTATCAGAAATATTTTTATAGGGTTCAAAATTGCAGTATAAGGACCGTGGACTTATCGGACCATGCCCGGTCTCCATGACATTAGTAGTAGTAAGGATGCCGCTTGCGTCTCATTAGTATGCATGAAAAAGTGACAGGTGACACGCCCCCAATTATGCAAATGAGCTCAGTCCCGCCTCCCATTGTTCGAGATCCTTTGATGTGAGTGGGTACAATTATGTTAATGAGCTAAGTCCCGCCTCCCATTGTTCGAGATCCTTTGATGTGAGGGGTGAGGTGTTATAACAGGTAGGTGTGAAAAGCCCCCCTGTGTAGTGCCTTTGTTGTCTAATCCTTTTGATGTGTTGATTAAGGCAGTCTCTTTGAAGTTATGTTGTCTGGGCCCTGTCCCCTCACACCCCTTTCTAGTCTAATCCTTTGATGTGAGGTATTATAACAGGTAGGTGTGATATAAGCCTCTGATGTTAATCTAGGTGTTGATTAAGGCAGTCTCTTTGAAGTTATGCTGTCTGGCCCCTGTCCCCTCAGAGTTGTATAATCTAATTAGCCTTTGATGTTTGCCCTTTGATGTGAGGTGTTATAACAGGCAGGTCTGATTTTACACTGGTGTGTTATAAGCCTTTGATGTTAATCAAGGTGTCTCTTTGAAGTTATGCGTGAGACTGTCTAGCCCCCCGCCCCCTCCCCCCTTAAGTTGAACTGGAGTTATTTATTGCAGCTAACCGCCTATCCGACGAACGACCCAAACATTGTTGTTTTTAATATTATTACCAATGCCTCTTTTAATTGTATTATCCTCACACT